AGAAAACGGAGACCGGTCCAGGAAACTGCAGGCTCGAAGCCGGACTTGAAGAAAGCGTGGCAATTGGCAACTGGCAAGCACGGCGTCGTCTTGTCGGTGGTGAGGCGGGCAGGCTGCAGGAGTCAATGTACCTATCCCCTGTTTTCTCGTTTCCTTAGTCAGACCGATCGGTCCCGTTAATGTTTTTTCTCCTTCACGGTTCCCCATGTCAAAATAGGAGAAAGTTGAGCTGGCAGAGAAGCAATCCACATGGAAGCATTCCGTCCAATCGTCTCCATCAATCCCTCTTCCCGGTCTCCCGGTCTCCCGGCCTCCCGTTATTGGGGCCCCGAAGCTTGCGGAATCGTATCCTAGCCCGAATGTTCTCCTCGTCGAAGACTTTGGTACCGCCGGCTCCATCTGTGGAAACATTCACAGCTATGCGGCGTATCTGATGGTCCAAGTGAAAGAAGGCCTTGCAGCATCCAGGTTGCGCGCAAACGTCTCAGTGTAACAGAGCTGGCAGCTTCCCAGACCGGCCTCGCCGCCCTGAGTTTGAGATGCTGCCGGTACGAGTAAGGACGCTGTGACGTCTGTTCGAAGATACTTGAAGTTCGGTACTTTCTTCGAGATGACAACATCGCCTCTCAGCCACCATCCGGGCTTGTTGCATGTGTCCAGCCATTGTCCATTCTCGGCCGGCCAGTTTAGCGCTCCAGCTGAACTAACAAGAGGCAATTGCTTCAGGTACGCAGTCGAGACGCAGGGCATGCTGATAAAAGGAGAACTATATCAACTATCAATTGCACACAAGGGCCAAAGAGGCGAAAACGCATGCCTCTCTCCCTTATCAAGGATGGCGAAAATTTATATTGGCTGTCGTGGGCCGTATCCATAGATCTGCCCCGTCATTTCCAAACGGCGCTTCTGTCGAGCCTGTACGAATCGAATCAAATGTAAACAAAGCTCTTCTCAGAACCCTGACCCGAGAGCCGCTTGCCCAGCCTTGGGCATGTGAGTGTCCCATTTGCGGTCCAGGACTGCTCAGTACCGATGCTACTGTACACGAGCATGTCACTCTCTCTGCCCAGTCTGCCGATGGGTACGCGTAAGAAAAGTTTGAGAAGAGGATGCGCACTGGGAGACCTGCCAGATTCGCTGAATTGACCCGAAGCAAGCGAAGGCCTTGACTCGGCCGGGCCAGGCATGCCCCTGGATTCTGGAGCCAGTGAATTGCGTCTCTTTCTTTTTTTAAGCTCGGCTGTCTGGGACGGTGGATGCAGGTCGATTGGCGGATTGCGAATTGCGAATGAGCATTAGCGGCGGCGGCTCAAAGGAGCTGACAAGCACACAAGCAAGAGACCCCCCGAGCTTACGCTGTATGTATGTGGACAGTAGAGGTGCCCGGCCCAGTTAACCAAGCTGGGCGGCTTGGCACCGGGACATGGAGGCAATGCTCGGGATGAAGGGGGATTTTGATGCCACGGGGCCGGATGAGATATCCATCGGTAATGTCTGGTTGCCATAGCAGGCTGAAGATGGCTTCTAGGCCTCAGGTTCCCGGGCTGGCAGCAGAAGCAGCGAGGATACCACTTGGTAGTGATGCTTTACCATACCATGGCCATATCGCGGATGCTGATGACGATGTTTCTGGAACAAGAAACATGGGATAACTTGAGTAGCCTCCAGATGAACAACGAGGCTTGGAATGAAATCTCATTAGAACAAGGGCCAGGCCGTCCAGCCCGTATGCTCTTCCGCACCCTTTGCCTAGCCCAAGTCGGGCACCTTGATGCCATCGACTCTGCCGATGTGGTGCTAGACACTCGTATGCATGCCCCTATTGTTTGCAATACCATAGCCAATATTGGGAACATCGCAATGGGATCTTGAGTCTGGAGCTTTGGCTCTCAGTGACAGACTCTCCCCAGAGTTCCTGGCTAGTGAGCACTAACGACCTGAAGTCTGGCGGGCGATGCTGCCGTCCAGCTTCCCGACGACAAGCGTAGGCAAGAAACATTGGCCGCGGAGTCCCCGTGCAAATCTCGGGGTGAACCGGTATCTCAATTCCATGGCAAACTAGCGCTTCGGCCTGAGGCCACTAGATTTGGCCTGAGTTGCCGGGCCAAAGAAAAACTTCGCCTTTGCTGCTGGCCTGCACCTTCCCACAGTGGAGTTTGGGGTTGGAGCAGCGGAAGGGGGCGACTCCACCCGCGCCTGCCCAGTGCCCACCCATGGAAGGGAAAGAGGACACCTGCACCAGAGCCACCAAGTGCACTTTCCCTACCAAGTCTGGAGGGCCAGCAAAGAGAAGGAGAAGGAGGGACCCGCTCTTGTCCACTTCTCACGCACCCTGAGCCCGGCCTGGGGTGGTCGGTGCTCCTTTCTTAGCGCGGCCCGGAAAGATTCGCTCAAAAGCTGTTCCTTCTTCGGCCACCCTGCAGGAATTTTTTTTTCCCTCCCTCAAACCTGCTGCCGTCGGAGCACTTAAATTCTCTCGACTCGCTCTTCCGTCTTCTCATCCCCTTCTACTCCTCCGTCCATCTCCGCTCATTCTTTTCTCTGAGGTTGATCTTTTGAGAAGAAACCCACAGCCAAGATGTCTGTTCCTGTCGAAAAGCAGAAGGTCCTGGGCATGCCGGTAAGCTACTACTCATTCTTCCCTTCATTGTTATCCGAGGCTGCGGGAAAAAATGCACCTCACCGGCGACGTCGCTTCCTTCCATCATCGGTCTCCCATCAATGGCCATAGCATCCAGCTTTGGATTCCATCGAGACATTGCGAGTCTCAATCTGATGGACAGGATTTGACGCGACAATGGTTTGCTGTACAGCTTATCGTCGCTGATGGAACGAACAACGTCGCTGGAGCTGGTCTACCTTGACCTGCCTTCGGATACCTATCAATTTCAGGATGAATCAATTTGCTAACTCCAATCTCACAGCCCTTCGTGGCCGACTTCCTTAGTACGTTGCACAACCCATTTCGATATCGGCACTTGTCATAGATCAGTTTTCCGACCTCGGCGAGCTGATCCCGGTACCGCAATAACAACAATGAACAATCACTAACAGCTTCCTACAGTGGGAGGTGTCTCCGCCGCTGTCTCCAAGACTGCCGCCGCTCCCATTGAGCGTATCAAGCTTCTCATCCAAAACCAGGTTAGTAAACATGGCTGCTCAATCGATTTGGACAGCTAGCCGGCCAAGGTCGGACCGGGTCACCCCGGTCGAAAAGTCATCCAAGATGACACGTGACCTCGGCCATCTACGCTGCTAGTATATTGTCAATCGGACCGCATCTAACAGCCTCCCAGGATGAGATGCTTAAGCAGGGTCGTCTTGACCGCAAGTACGACGGTATCGCCGACTGCTTCCGCCGTACCGCCGCCGATGAGGGTGTCATGTCCCTGTGGCGTGGTAACACTGCCAACGTCATCCGTTACTTCCCTACCCAGGCCCTGAACTTCGCTTTCCGCGACAAGTTCAAGCAGATGTTCGGCTTCAAGAAGGAGCGTGACGGATACGCCTGGTGGATGGCTGGTAACCTGGCCTCCGGTGGTGCTGCCGGTGCCACTTCCCTGCTCTTCGTCTACTCCCTCGACTACGCCCGTACCCGCCTTGCCAACGACGCCAAGTCCGCCAAGAAGGGTGGTGAGCGCCAGTTCAACGGTCTCGTTGACGTCTACCGCAAGACCCTCGCCTCTGACGGTATTGCCGGTCTCTACCGTGGTTTCATGCCCTCCGTTGCTGGTATCGTCGTCTACCGTGGTCTGTACTTCGGCATGTACGATTCCATCAAGCCCGTCGTCCTTACCGGTAACCTCGCCAACAACTTCCTTGCCTCTTTCGCCCTTGGATGGCTCGTCACCACTGGTGCCGGTATCGCCTCTTACCCCCTTGACACCATTCGTCGTCGCATGATGATGACCTCTGGTGAGGCCGTCAAGTACAAGTCTTCTTTCGACGCTGGCAAGCAGATCATCGCCAAGGAGGGTGTTAAGTCACTCTTCAAGGGTGCCGGTGCCAACATTCTCCGTGGTGTTGCCGGTGCTGGTGTCCTGTCCATCTACGACCAGCTTCAGGTCCTGCTCTTCGGCAAGGCCTTCAAGGGTGGCTCTGGCTAAATGCCTTTGACACTTCTTCGTGTATAAACTCTTCACGTGGCGGGTTGGGCAGTTGGCGAATACCCGGGCTGTGGGGATTCGTTACTGGTTAGGATCAGATGAGGAATCGGTTGACAAAATGGGGAAGATGGATGTTGCGGAGGGGCTTTGGATGCAGGCACCACAAGACGTGGCACGCCTGGATCGGCCAGTCCTTCGTGGTTTAGACTGGCATCGGCAAGGCGTTCTCTTACATGACCTGAAGAGCTTTGCTTGCTACCTAATCCACTGTAATTTGTACACTAAAGCAATTCTCGATTGCACTCGTTCACGCAACACCTGTCCTCGCTGGACTTTACCGGCTTCTGGTCGATCCTGGGGTGGATTTTCCTTGGTATTGCATGACGATAGACTTCCGCGGTACAATAGGAAGATTTCTTTGATTCTACGAATGTTTTCCCATTGACTTTTGTGACATCGTACCAATAATTCGATGCAAATCAATGATTATAACAATACTGCCTGGTCGTTGTTCGCGGTGCTCTGATTGGCCAATGGAGCTTTTGTCGCTAGTCCGCCCAGACGCGCCTGCACTCCGCAGTGACAGTGCCAGTCGCGTCCCGCTCCAAGCTCTAAATATTCCCCCACGTGCTCCCCGCCCTGATCGCCTGATTCCCAGGTCAGGTCCAATCTCGCCGTTCAGCAGATGCACCTCTGACATCTGACACCCTGCGTTTACTTGGAGAAGTGGGCTATCACGCCGTCGACACGTGGAATCTCTGTTGCTGTATTCGACACACGCAGTACTACTGATCTGACGCCACCACCTCGGTCTAGCGACTATTTGCTACCTCGATGCGAGCATACCACCAGTCCTGAAGCAACACCCAGCAGCCGAACAGATCAAGGACCAAAATGCCCAGACAAGCAGCAGAACCAGCGAAGCGCGGCCGCCCTGGTAAAACCCAGCAGCCAGCCGCGGGCGCCAAGCGCAAGGCTACGCAGCAGCCGGCACGTAAGAAGTCGGGACCTTTCGAACTCTCCGACAGCGACGCACCAGCATCGCGGGGCCGGCGGGAAGCCCCCGACGATGCAGAGGAGGAAGACGAAGCAGAAGAAGAGGAGGAACAAGACGAAGAGGCTGGGGACGAAGGTCCAGACAATACTATACCTCCCGAGCTGCTGACGCGGCTGCTGCACGAGTTCTTTGAAAAGGACGACACGAGGCTCAGCAAGGACGCGAATTTAGCGGCGGGAAAGTATATGGATATCTTTGTGAGAGAGGCGATCGCGCGGTGTGTGCATGAGAGGCCTGGTGGCTTTCTTGAGGTTAGTGGCTCTTGGATTTCTTATGTTGCTACGTTTAAAGAGGGAACTTGTTGACTGACTGGGTGATGATAGGTTGAGGATTTGGAAAAAATTGCACCTCAGCTACTCATGGACTTCTAGCCTGAGAGTCAAAGCTATAGACACGACGACATGATGAGCGATACCCCTCTCTCACACTACACAACAGCCTTCGAAGGACGAGAAATGTTGGTCGGCCGGGCTTGAAAGACTGTTGGCCTCAGCTCTTGACTGGAAGATAACTTGCGGCGACGAAGCTCTCAGCTCGACACTACCTCATATGTTTCCCTCGATAAAGAACGCTGCCGCTCTGGATATCTCGAGGTGCTTGTCGACCACAAAGTAGACCATAAGCGAAGGGTCAGATCAGCATGACCCAAACATGTCATGGCTCGGAAATGAAGTGTGGAGATCGGTGTCATTGTCGACCGAATCCCATAGCATTATTGTCGGATCTGCACAACACAACGTCGTGATCTTCGTTTCTTCATCAGCCTTGCGGCGGTCATGTCCGTGGAGAAGATGGGAAGAGGTCTTTCCCACTGATTTCTGCAAAGCCGCGAGAGGTTGATACAGTCTGTCGGGACGGCAACGCTTTTGCTCCGGTCGATGAAGTGGAGCTCAGCACATGCTGCGATGATCAGACATGTGTTTGCTACGATGCAAAGGGAGACTAGGAAACACAGTCATCCTGACACCAGGCGCATCTGTCCTTGCCTGACGCATGAACAGAATAATGAGTGTCTGGACCGGCCTGCTTGTGCGCGGCGGAACCATGATGTGTTACTACCGCAGCCCGGTCGATCAAGGGAAAGCGGATAAAAATGCCGAAAAAACCGGGAAAGCTATCACAGCGGTAAAACCAAGCACGAACGGTAGTCAACTGCCATTCGAAATTCTTTGTTGCCTCAACATTGTAACTGGGGCGAGGTTCAGACGAAACAACAGGCTAGACGCCAGAGATGTCAAAGGCCCTGGAGTGGGATGGTCTGTCCAGGGGCGAGTGGAAGGGGGGGTATGCGACCCAGACGAACAGAAATGGAAGAAAAGTCTGAGAGTAATCGCTTCTCTAACATGGTCTCTCTTACCCGTCGTGCCTGACCATCGGCTAAAATTGCACCATTTCGTTGTTCGAGGATGAGGCTCTTTATGTCTGGTGGGGAGGGGGGGGGGGCCTTCGGACGAAACGCTACGCTGACACACAGTGGACTTGAGGCCATTGTTCGTTCGACTCTGGAATCTGGAATCTGGAACCTGGAACCTCTGTTCTCTCTTTCCCTGGGGTTGAAGTCTCCTCCCAAACAAATGTCCAAGAGACAGGTGTTTCTAAAGAACGGCGTGACAGCTGGAGAGCCGCATTCTTACGATCTGAGGCAACTGGTCTGGGGTTGAAACTAGTTGCATGAGGCGGGCCGCTGATCTGCTTTCGACGTTATGGAAAACCAATGATGTCTCGTCTTTCACGAAGGATCTTGAACTGGACGGTCGTGGAACGTGGCTTGTGGCTAGTACAGTTGCCTTTCCAGTTAATGAAGCTGACTCTAACCTCAAGGACAAGTATCAGAGTACCTGGACTTGATAGTCGGTAGTCAATCATTGTGGGTAGTCAGGCGCATATATCATATTCACAAAAAAAAAAAAGGTGTGTCGATACGGGCGCTCAAATTCGTCAGCAACCATTATTTGATGTTCACTTCGCGACGACTCTGGTCTTGGTGTTCGTATGATGTTAACGCTCTTGGACACATGTCTTGGCCTCGTGTTGTAAAAGCCAAACCCGAGTTGTCACAACCCTCGAGTTGAAGCACGATAAATATGAGATGGAGAGGTAAAAGTTGTTCTTGGGTTCTGTTCCGCTTCCAATCAAAAAAAAAAAAAAAAAAGAAAAGAAAAGAAAAAAAGAGAAAAAAAAGAAAAAAAAAAAGCTGGCTACCCGCTCGACGCATGAAGGCGCCATTTGACCCGACGACTTGTTGTGTGTTGGGAAATCGCGCGTGACCTTAGTTTCCTGGTTTAGTTGATACCAAAAGCACTGGCTCATACAGTTTAACGGCGCTGATCGCCAAGACTGGCTTCTCAATGAGATTCTCAAGACATGCCGACTTGGGGTCGTTCGATCAGTTGCCAAGTGGCCGGAGACTCGGGTGAAGAGTCTCAGAAGAATTAGTCTCAGAGGAATTGACAACTTTTCTCCGGTCCTTGGCAGAACCAAAGCGAATAGTATCTTGGGGAGAAAAAAAAAAAAAGAAAGTACCCGCCTTCGCGATCGGATCTGTCCTTCCTGATACCTTCTTTCCCACTAGGATGTAGCCGGTGGGTGTAAGGGCAAAAAGGCTATACCGTCCATTGTGAATGCGAGCAAATGTTCGGAGAAGGCGAGTCGGACTCTGGTGGGAGAGAGGGTCGTGCGTGTTGAAGAAAGGTTTGGCCCAATCTTCCTTCTTTGCCATCAATCACGCAGACTCGGTGCCTTTTTTTTTTCAACCTTGTCTCGCGAAACATGAGTAGTTGAAAATTCTTGGCGATGGGTGCTTGACACAGGTTAGCCCTGGACTCATTGTGGAAAAAAGTCTGTTTGTTTGTCTGGGCTGGCCTTGCTTGGCCTGTCGAGGTGTGTGTGAGGGATGAGAGAGAATGTGGGAGGGAAGAGGAGACGACCGTTGACAGTCTGGTGTTGGTATTGGATCTAGGGTAGGAGCGGCGGCGGTGCATTGGAAAGGAGAGTTTTTCTTTTTCTGGGAGACGGGGGAAAGATGGGATGACGCCAGAAGAGAGAGAGAGAGAGACTAGGGGAGAAAAAAAAGATCAGTTCAAACACTGGTTATGGTTTCTGAATAAAGCGAGAATAGCCTGTCACTCCATTAATGGGTTGAACTCTCGACAATAACGAACGAAGCGGACTCTGACTTTTTCTGCCCCCAAAGGCCATTGACTATTATTAGACATCTATGAACTCGCGAGAGCGGAGTGTGAGAGTGAGATGAGTGTAGAGGGGAGAGCCGTACGAAGTAGAGTGTCATTGAGTTGGGGGCTGATGATTTTTCGATTTCACCATTGATCGATGCCAGGGCCAGGAAGTGTTTCGTTTCTTCTGGCTCGAGACGGTTGAGTAGTCACCCCGACTGGTTACGTCAACTTGTCAAGGGAGGGAATCGTCACAGTCGTCTAGACGACGAAACGTGCTATCCGGCTGGACGGCGGGCGAAAGAGGGACCCTTGTGAGGTATATCAGAAGGGTGGCTATATGGTCCTAGGGACCGATGGCCTCCAGGAGAGGCCATGTCTTTCCGTGAGGCCTCCCCTGGAATCTTTTTGATGGCCAGGCTTTGAGTTTTGAAGCCGGAGGGCACATCATGGCAGGACGCGACTGAATGATCTCCGCGGATAGGTGAAATAGCGGATGGAGAGAGGCCGTCGGCTGGGGTCTGGGAGGGCACGTGGGGAGTAGCAATGAAGAACAAAGATTATGCAGGTGAAGATCCCCGGAAAGCCATGTTCTTCCTAGTTACCGCGGACCGCGAACCGCGGGCTGCGATGAGTAAGGCCAGGTAAAAATTGCAAGTCAGGTGCGAGCCTGAGAGTCACGAGATAGCCAAGACTCAAAAGATCGGAGAAGCCGTTATGGGCGTGGCAAAGGTAGGGAGGGGCATGAAGACATGCTCGATTTGGGAATGAAGGAAATGCGGTATTCGCTGTGTATGTAGGCATGTGTGTGGTCGGATGACCGGGATGTCAGATCTTGGGAAAGCGAATCTTGCGTACCTTTGGCCAAGAATAATCTTTTGCCGCGGTTGCTGCTACTACTCAGGGCAGTATCGCCGTTGTTTGAGTGACAGTGCGAGTCAGGGGATGCTTTCCTTTCTTCTTTTTTTTCCTTTTTCCCCACGGGTTGAAGAGATTCTTCGTAACTCGTTGGCCGCGGGCACGTTCTTCTCAGAGAAGATGGGAGGAAATGGAACGAGAGAGATGGCAGGCAAAAACATCAGACGCCAATGTCTCCGTTTTGGGCTTTTGGGGGCGTATCTTCTGTGACGACCGAGGGATGGCCGCAACTGTGGCAGGACTGGGATAGTAACACTTCTTGCTGCTAGGCGAGTCGAGGGTTGTGTGTGCCTTGATCGTTTGGCTTGAGGCTCACAGACCTGATTGGACGATGGGATGAGCACTTGGGAAGTAGTCAACAAGTGTGACAAGCAACGGCGGTACATCGGGACGGGTTGACTAGTCTACTAGCTGGAGTCTTGAGCAGACTTGACGAGGCCAAGGCGAGCCGGGGGCATGGATCGTTTTGTTTGCTTTTGGTGGGCGCTTCATCTGGGAATCGGACAATTCTTTTTAGAGCCCCAGACTGGCGGATACTGGAGACCAGGGAGAGGGTGAGACGGTTGGGCAATTAATTTGGCCAGGGCAGAAGGGACGACGTCACGGCAACGGGCAGACTGGCGCATAATTGAGCGGTGCTAAGACTCAAGAGAGACAGAGAGGCTGGGACGCAATGTGGTCCGGGACGAGGACGGAGGACGGACGGGAAGGGTTAGTGAGGCCATGTCATCCATTAACCATTTACCATTATGATCCTTTGATGGAGAACAATCCATGATGGTGCCTGTCTGTCTGTGTAATTTACGCAGTAGATCCATGAAGATGGAAGCGAACACGGAGGAGAGGTGAAGAAAGGGCAAGAATGAAATGGGTAGTTCCTGGGGGAAACGTCGAGGAACGGAGTGGATGAAACAGGGTACGTCGCGAAAGTGTCAGAGGGCTGAAGGAGAAGGTGAAGCACATCCGAGCGCCAGCCTCTTTTGGCGACCAGCCGGGTCTTTCAACCAATCAGAATGACGTTGAGTCGAATAAAATGGGGAGTAGAGCGCTGGAGGGTACGGGGATACATAGGTACGGAGATACTTGAGTGTGTCGGGTGGACCGTGCAGAGGGCCTCAACCTTATTTCGGCTTCGACGTCGTCCGACAACTTGAACAAGGTCAAGTCGCTTTTGACACGCGCTACACTTCTCCGTACAGCCAGACCACTCCGTACTCTCTCCCCGTGCTCCTCCTCGTCAGTCTCAACTTTTTTCTGCTTCCTGACCCTCAGCCAGTAGT